GTAGTATTGGTAAATGGTAGTGCTCTTCCTCAATTATAGTTTCACTTCCTTGTTACGAGTCAATACTTAATGTTAATATGCTGACTGACCTTTACTATACAGTAACATTTTAACTTTAATTAAAGAATAATACGAACAACACCTTCAACAGCATTTATAGCAGTGCACCTAAGTTTTATCCTAACTATTTTCCTATCAGGTAACTCCCTTATGGATTTTCTTACATTGTGCCAATTCGTCAATACCAACCTTATTTAAATCCCGAGTTATCAGGCACATGAAACCGATTGTAAGAATTGATTTGCTTGAATATTTTGCTTACCATTCATCACTTTGTAATTGTTTCCTTAATTTTATTTTTGTGTCGTGTTTTCAATACAAACAAGTTGCAAATGTTTCTTATAAGCAAGACTAAAAGGAATTCAATAGGGATTTTTTTCAATTAAAGTGGTTTTACGAGATATGATGGATATATCCATACACCCTAAGGATGTGGAGACCTCGTAACTACTGCAAGTTGATATATGCTTTTGAGTTTTGGTGTATCAAACGAGCATACGTCAGCATAAACCCCAACAATGGTTCTTTCCATTTTCTGGCAATTGCAAGCGCAATCCCTTCTTATCTTAATTATTTTCTAGGATTCATTTCCCCAGTTTAAGTTTCTTGTCTTCGTTTTCTACAAATCACAAAGAATATTGGCTTTTAACAAGTATATATTGAACAAATAATAAAGGAAAAGCACGAGTATCATTTTCGCGGAAATGAAACATGTCAATTATTAATAACAAAGTTAATACTTTAATCTTTTAATTTAATTTTTTTTATTTTGTTATGTTTTTTATTTCAGTATATCTTTTTATTTTGTTTAATTTTCTAACTTTCAATCATTAATTAAATGAGAATTTTTTTTTGTTAATTTTGTTTAATTATATGAATCAAAATAGAAAGAGGAACAAGAAAAAGAAAATGGTAATAGTAACAATAATAATAACTAAAAATAAAAAAAAATAATGAATAGAGTTAAATAAAATTAATAAAAATGTTTAATTAAAGTTTAAAAGTTATATAATTAAAATAAAAAATTTTAAAAAACTAAATAAAAATAAAAATAAGATAAAATACAAAAATAAAACAAAAAAGTCAAAAAAACAAACTGAAAAAAAGAAGTTAAATAAATAAAATACTAATTTTGTCATTAATTCATTAAAGATAATGCTATTTGGATCATAAATTGTTGTGAATACCATTTTTTTTTATCTCCCAGGATTACCTCAAAAAAATTTAAAAAATAAAATAAAATTGTTTTACAGAAAAATGGAAATTTTTGAAAAAAACAAGTTTGGCTCACGGAAACGGAAATCTGCAGTATACAAGCTTATACTTTCATATCAAAAATCGTTCTTAAGCACGAGAAAGGCAAAATTAGAACTTTTGGCATTTTGTAAAAAAACCCTAAACGAACCAGTATAAAGACACAAGTAAGGGATCCACCCGGGGGGTCTTTTGGAGGGGGAGGCTGGAAAAAGAAAGCAAAAAATTTTTGAGAGAAGAAGTTTTCAAAAATTAGAAAGGCAACGGGTTTCTCTACAAAAAATCTGAACAGAGGAGAAGAGGGATAGAGAAAAGAAGAGAATACCATACCATCCCTTCGACCCAAAGCTTGAACTATTCTTCGTATGTTGTTGTATTTGTAAGGTTAGTCACCTTTCGTTCTTATTTTACATTTTGAAACTTACTCCCAGAACGAATATGAACAAACCGAAAAAGCTTACTCTCAGAATGCATATAAATGAACCAAAAACTTGCTATCGAAATGTATTTGAAAGAATAAAAATGCTGAACAACTGAATATCCTCTTCCTATCTTCTTTTCATGATTGAGATTTAATATTATATTATTTATATAAAGTATTTGATTTGACATAGCGGGTGCAAGGCTCGAAGCAAAACAAATGTCATATACTAGTTGATTTCCAACAAATGCCACATACTAGTTGATTTCTATCAAATCATTCATGTAACCATGTCTTTTTTTTTTTTTTTATCTAAAATTTTATTCTGATTTATTCATGTTTAGTGTTTTTGCTGTATTTTATTGCTGTAATGTCCTTTAATCTATTTTACTTTATTTTATTGTATTCTCTTTTTTTAAAATAATAATAATAATTAAAATAATTATAATTTTATTAAAATTGATCAAATGCAATATTTGTTATTTTATTATATTATTGAGTTTCCTTTTATCACATTCAACATTAATAATAAATCCTTCCTATTTTTATGATGTTTTATTGTTCATATCTTAATTATCATTTTTTTTTTTTACTTTTTGGGATTGTTATCTTTTATTTTATTTATTGTATATTTGTAGAATATTAATGCGATTTAATTTTTATATTTATGATTACTTTATCTTATATTGTGAATACTAAATTACTTATTTTTTTTGGTATAATTAATTAATAAATAATAATATAATTGTATCAATTTATAATTCTAACGTATAGTTTCTCTATCGTCATGTATTATAAATTGATAAAGTCTATGTGTACCTACGTTACCAAGACTTTATGCAATATTAATTTATCATATATTGTCATTAATTAATTATTTAACCACTCTAATAATAATATAAGATATATTTCTCTTTTAAATACTAACTTACGAATCAATTAACTAATTTAAATTTAAATTATTTTATTAAGAAACAATTTATAATGCTAATGTGTAGCGACTCTACCTTTATGCGTTATAAATTGTCAAAATCTATGTGTACCAACGTTACCTTAGGTTTTATATAATATAAATCTATCAAATCAAATTTTTAATGTTTTTATTAAATGAGTATCTTCTTTAATCAATTCAAATAAAATTATTTGTTAAAATGAAATTAATTTCATATTTTAAAATTTCTTGAATTGTATTTCTAATTTTGATAAATAATCAATTATTTCTCCATTTTTTATTTTATTATACAAATTTTTGCAATACCGTTGTGTGATTTACATTACCTTCGATTGTCCAAAAATTATAAGAGATTAATGTATAGCTTACGCTATCTTAAATTCTCTTTCAACATTAATCATAATCAAAACTAAAATTCAAATACTTGATTTACGAATGAAATATTTTAACGATTTGCAATATAGTTGTGTGATCTTCCTTCACTTTCTGTATTGTTTCTCGTAGAGTATATGTATAATCGCGTTATCTTGTATTCTAAATATTATAATTTTATAAAATAATTTTAATTTTAAAATAAATTTTATTTTACTAAACTTAATTATAATCAACTAATTTCATAATTTTTTAGATAGAACTACATGGCTTTGAGTTCTCCATTGCACCTGGAGATACGTAGGAGCGGGAACCATACCCGTCAAGTCAAAATAATTTTTAAAATAATCCAAATAATATCTCAATAAATAATATTTCTTCTTCTAAAACAAAAATAATTAATGTTTAGGGGTTAAATAAATATTTTTTAAAATTAGAATGAATTTGCACAATTAATTTTAGGTAACCATTTTTTAAACAGACGTTGTAGGGTGCTAATACCTTCCCTACACGTAAATGACTCCCGAACTCATTTTTGATTTCAAAGATCGTATTATATTTAAGTTTTTCCAAGGTTTTTTTTTTCTTAAAATAAACTTTGGTGGCGACTCCTCTGATATTTTTGAAAAAGTTTTTTCACCGTACTGTTGCGACCGCCTGGTTGCGACAGATGGCGACTCCGCTGGGGACATCTTTTAGAGAGTCAAGCCTTATAATTGATTGTGCGAATTTATCTTATTTTGTTTCTATTTGTTTAATCCCTTTCTTTTTTCGTATTTATTTGAATTAATTGTAGTGTTTCTTGTATTCGTGCATGTATTTCGTGTATGAATTACGTAATCTCATTGTATGCTCATATTGATATTGTTATTAATCCTAGGGTAGATGACTATGGATGATTTGTGTTATTCTCGTGTTGTTTAATTTTTGCAACTTTTTATTTTTGATTGAGTTGATAAGGTTTGTATGCTCCCTCACACACTATCACTTACACATTCATCACACACCTTGAGTGGGGCCCTATACCAGGGTCTGAGTATGCTTAGGATTAGAGGGGTTATGTAGCGGTGTCATTTTGGATGCACGTCCTATTTAGCTATCGTGAAAACCCTAGCTAGAGTTTGACCTTTTCTTGATGTCCCGCATCAAGTAGACTCCCTACTGTTGTGGTCAACATCAAGGATTGGATCTTAGCTCTAGTGACCTTTTAGGATTACAAGCCAACTTTTGTGAGTTTTTACATGTAAAAGAAAGTTGTAGATCTTTAAGTTAGACCCTTTAAGTGACCTGAAATAGAACACAAAAAGGGGTATTCTTTCCTTATTTACTCTTTTAGAAATTATGTGAATTATTAGTGCCTTAAAGTTTTAAATAAAAAAGGAGAAGAATTTTTTTTACTATATTTTGGAATAATATAAGGACTAGTGATTCACATGATTCTCTTAATTAATTTTTCTTACATCATCATTATTTCATTTATCATTGCATATCATTTATTTGAATATCATGCTTATTGCCATCCTTGTGACACTTGTAATAAATTTAAAATCAGTTTTGAAATAAGGTTAAGGATGACAATTTGCATAATTTCTTACATCATTGCATTATCATATGAAGCATTACCCTTATAAGTATCAATTTAGATTTATCGAAAGAAAAAACTGAAAAAAGAACTTAAAAAGGGTAATGATTCATATTGTTCTCGCATTATCATAGTCATCACATATTTTTTTCATTAATAAAAATCCTAGTGGATTATTGATTCATTTAGGATTAATGTTGATTCTTATATAGACGTTTATCTGTTTAGAATCAATAGTAATCCTTATGGCTACTAGGATCCTATGTTAATGAAACAAATACAAAATTTGAAATAATTTCTCATCATTTTCTTTTTATTTATAGGTTGAGAATCACAAAGTTATTTGAGTATTCAAGAAAATGGAAATTAATGTGGGATCAAGTAGCAGTGATATGAGATCAGTTGAGCTGAGAAGGAAATTGCATCTGAGAGTTAAAATGGCTGACACGGCTAGTCTGAGAGGGTTAGGAAAGAAGCTGAAGACAGTCCAACAACTCACTTTACTGAGGAGGTATGGAAATATTTTGAGATTGATGGAAGTGAATGTGCAAGAAGATGCCATAACAGCTCTAGCCCAGTATTATGATTCCCCGTTGAGGTGCTTCACTTTTCAGGATTTTCAGTTGGCTCCGACCTTAGAGGAATTTGAGCAAATTCTAGACTTGCCTTTGGAGGGTCAACAGCCATATCGCCCTATGAAACATCATGCATCTCTGCCGACTATCGCCAATGTCTTAAGGATTCATCCAGCCGAGTTACAACAAGCTTATCAAGAAAAATATCATAATAGAGGATTCACAAGAGAATTTCTTGAGCGACAAATGCATAATTTGGCAGAAAAAGAAGATTGGGAGACTTTTATAGATGTCATAGCACTCACCATTTATGGCATTGTCCTTTTTCCTAAGCATGACAACTTTGTGGATTTAGCAGCAATAGATGTGTTTCTTGCATGCAAAAATCGATCTGAAAATCCTGTCCTTACACTACTAGCTGATGTTTATTGTACACTGAGTTTCTGCCATGAAAGAAAAGGAAAGAGGATTATATGTTGTCTACCTATGCTTTATATATAGCTAACAGCTCATGTCTTTAAAAGGCCAAGTGAGATCAAGTGTCCGATCACTGATTTGCTGAGGTTTCAGATTGGGCAGAAAAATGGTCAAGAGTGGGCTAATCACTTAGCTAGTTTGAATGAAAGACACGTCAGGTGGCATACTCCATGGCAACAGTCAACGACCATTGTTTATCACTGTGGCAATTACCCAAATGTTCCTCTTATGGGTACTCGGGGTTGTATTAATTACAATCCAATTATGGGACAACGTCAACTCGCTTATCCCATGATGGGACCACCTGCTGAGGAATTGTTGATTCCTTTTGTTGTCTATTATGAAGATGGAAATTTCACTGAGCTTATCCAAAAGGCAAGGAATGCTTGGGCAAGGGTTGTTCGAAAAGGAAAAGAGTTAGGCGTGAGAAGTTGTGCAGCAAAAGCAAGTTACCGTCAATGGGTTAAAGAAAGAGTCCAAGAGATTAAGTTACCATTCAAAGATCCAGGTACCTCCCAAGAAAATGAGCCATCTAATCCAGAACCCTTTGAGAATGAAGAAGTAAAAGAATTAAAGGTAAGACTGGCTAAGATGATTGAGAAGAATGTGAGGGTAGAAAGGGAGCTTCGAGAGAGTCGCCAAACTTGCGCCATCTTGAAGAGAGAGAATAGTGAAAAATAACAAGCCTATGAAGAGGTTTGTAAGAAGCAAAAGTCTGTGCAAAACCATACAACTAAAGTTCAACATTGCCTTGAAGCTGCAAACAAGGAATTATGATTGAGGGTGAAGGAGCGAAATGCAGCTTTATATGAGAAACGACAATTGAAAGGTGCATTGTACAAGGCAAAAAGAGATCGAGAAGAAGCTTTGACTCAAGCCAGTGAACTCCAAATACGAGTGCAAAATATGGAAGAGTAGATAAAGGAAATTGTCATGTTATGCGAGGCTGAAATTAATGCTAAAAAATGGGAAGTGATCAGAATCATGAAAGAGTACGAAGCTATTGTGAAAGTGAAAGATGGTCAGATAGAAGAAGGAGATAAGCTTATTGAGTATTGGATCAAGCGCTTCATACAACTTGCATCATTAGCTAATGCCGCCATTGATGACGTCCCGTATATGTTGTCAAAGGCTGAGACATCTACTTTTTTCTACATGATACCTCAAGAAATTAAAGATTTCCTTAGCCATTGCAACTGGTTGGTCTCAGAGATGAAAGGAATGATAGCTAGGGCTAGGAAGGGGTGATGTAATGATTTGAGGTATGGGGTAGACTATGTATGGGTAGAAAAAAAAAGATGTATTTTGAATCAAATTCTGATGTACTTTGATGTTTTAATTTGATTATGGATTATATTTTGGTGTGTTTCATTTGACGAGGATCCTACATTAATTTCCATTAAAGACTTGAAGATGCTCAACAACTGTGATGATTCTTTAATCTTTGGTTGTTATTTTTTTAAGTGCATTTTTCATTTTGATTAATTCTTTTTTTTACTACAAACTATTTCAGAAAATTAAACAAATATAACGGGGAAACATTTTCTAAAGCATCCTTATAGAACTCGCGCTCAAGCAAGGATCATGGATGAGTTAGAGGAGCACAATGAAGAGCTGAGAAACGATGTTAATCAGTTGAAAGAACAAATGGCACAAATCCTAGAGGTACTGAAGTCTTTAGAGAGAAGAACCACAGAGGGGACCCCTATTCAATCACCTTCGGCACAACCCACTCCTACCTATCCACCAGGTTTTACCCCTACACAAGGACCATCCCAAAATTTTCCTCCTCATGAAACAACAAGCTTTTAATCAACAAGATGTCCAATTTCTCCCATATAGCCTTCCCCAAGGTTATACACCACCGATAGCTGAGAACCCATCAAACACTGGCCAACCATCAAATCAACCCAATTCTGCACAACCTTCAGATCCACAAATCCAACCAACCCAAACATTCATCTCATCATATGCTTATCCTCAAAATACCCATCCCCAAGAAGCTCATATACCCCACACTATACCTACCCCAAACCAACCGATCCACCACCAACCACAAATCACTAATCCTAGCCTTAATGGAAACCCAGCCATATCACCATTCCATTCCCATAAGACCTTAGAAGAACCCCAGCCCAATTACTCAGAGGAGCACTTCCAATCCAGCGAAAAATTACAAATATTGGAAGAAAGATTGAGAGCTATCGAGGGAAGCAGCTATGGCATTAGAGAAGCTGCGGATCTTTGTTTAGTCCCAGATGTGATAGTTCCTCCAAAATTCAAAGTGCCTGATTTTGATAAGTACAAAGGAACAACATGCCCAAAGAGTTATCTGATCATGTACTGTAGAAAGATGGCATCACATGCCCATGATGATAAGTTGCTAATTCATTTTTTTTCAAGACAGTTTGGTTGGAGGAGCTTTGAGTTGGTATATGCATCTTGAGCGTACTCGTATTCGTAGTTGGAAAGACTTGGCTGATGCTTTCCTAAAGCAATATAAGTACAACATTGATATGGCTCCTGATAGATTACAACTGCAGAATATGTTAAAGAAGGAGGATGAGACTTTTAAAGAATACGCCTAAAGATGGAGAGAAGTTGCAGCTCAAGTGGAGCCCCTTTTGTCTGAAAAAGAAATGGTGGTTATGTTTATTGATACTCTCCAATCACCTTTCTATGATAGAATGATTGGAAGTGTTTCGTCAAACTTCTCTGATATTGTGATTATCGGAGAAAGAGTGGAAGGAAGAATGAGGAGTGGTAAGATATTTCACAATTTGGACGGACCCTCCAATTTAAAGAAATTTGCAAATGGTCCAGGAAGAAAGAAGGAGGGAGAGACTAATGCTATAGCCTTTCACCCAAGAGAAGTTCCTTTCATCAGACCTAACCCTGCACCTTTTCAATTCCAACCCACATTTCCTGCTCCTCAAATGTCTTACCCATATGTAAATGTTGTTTCACAGAATCCAAGTCCCCAATCTTATCAGTCGCGACCCTACCAACCTGCTCTGCCTACTTTTCCTATAACACCACTCATGAGACCACCACAGCATTGGAACCAAAACCCAAATCCCAACCAAATAAGACCCTAAAACAATCAAGAAAGGAAACAAGTTCAATTCGACCCAATCCCCATGTCCTACACTGAGTTACTACCTTGCCTATTCCAAAGTTCATTAGTTGTACCATGTCCAATGAAACCTGTAGAACTGCCCTATCCAAGAGGATATGACCCAAATGCTAAGTGCGAGTATCATGCTGGTGGCATTGGTCATTCGACAGAGAATTGTAGGGTATTAAAGTTCAAAGTGCAAGACTTAATTAATGACAAATGGCTGAATTTCAAGGAGGATAATCCTAACATTAGGAGTAACCCCCTACCCGGGCATGGAGGATCGTCGGTAAATACCGTCGAGGAAGAGCCTGCACATGTTTTAAAGAGGAAAGTTAAAGAGGTTATCACTCCTCTTAAGGTTGTTTTTGATGAGTTGTGCAAGGCTGACTTGATCAGGGGTTTTGTACATGAAGAAAATATATGTGACTTGCACCCTAATGCATACCACTCCATTGAAGATTATGAAGAATTCAAGCATGTTCTGCAAACCCTGATGGACAAGCATTTGGTCCAAATCGGGCACCCTAAGGAGAAAAATGAAGTTTTGACTGTTGATGGACAATCCTCAGCTTTCCTGAAACCCTTGGTCATTCATTACACCAAATGTATGAACACCCCAACTACTAATGGACCTAGACCCATCACCATACAAGTACCGGCTCCATTCCCTTACAAGGACAACCAAGCAGTACCATGGAAGTATGATGTAGGGGTTTATGTCGACAATTTTAAGGAAAATCAAACACAAGGTGTCAATTCTAATACTCTCGCTGTCTCAAACATTGCTGGCGTTGTTGGAATGACTCGCAGTGGTCGTATTTATACACCTGAGGAGCTGAGAAAAGAGCGAGCAAAAGAGATAGAGAGATCTTCAAAGGGGAAAGCCAAATTGGGCGAGTTTGAAGATGCTGACGAAGAGAAAATGCCTAAAATAAAAAAGACAGTATTTGATGAAGAAGCTTGTGAGTTTTTGAAATTTATTCGTCAAAGTGAGTATCAAGTTGTGGAACAGTTGAACAGAACTCCAGCACGGATATCTCTTTTATCGTTGTTTTTGAACTCTGAGCCACATAGGAGGACTCTTTTGAAAGTGTTGAATGAGGCTCATGTCAGCCATGATATCACTACCGATAAGTTTGGAGGCATTGTTGGTAATATTGTTTCAAACAATTATCTCACCTTCGCTGATGATGAAGTACCTGCCGAAGGAATGGGGCACAATAAAGCACTGCATATTTCTGTGAAATGTCAAGATCACATTATTGCTAGAGTGCTTATTGACAATGGGTCTTCTCTGAATGTGATACCAAAAGCAACATTGTCAAAATTACTTTGTGATGGGTCGCATATGAAACCTAGTGCCATGATAGTAAGAGCTTTTGATGGAACAAGGAGAGAGGTCATTGGAGAAATTGAAATCCCAATCCAAATTGGTCCTTGCACCTTTCAGATTTTGTTTCAAGTAATGGATATCGCACCAGGTTACAGCTGTCTTTTGGGGAGGCCTTGGATTCATTCTGCTAGAGTTGTACCATCCATATTGCATCAGAAACTGGAGTTTATCATTGATAATAAGTTGGTGATTATCTCTGGTGAAGAAGATATGTTAGTGAGTAAACCTTCGTCCACACCTTATATTGAAGCCACTGAAGAAGCTCTAGAGACCTCTTTTCAGGCTTTAGAGATTGCAAATGCTACTTATGTTGGAGAGGGAGCCCCAATCGTAAAGCCTCAATTGTCTAATACATCCATAATGACTGCTAAAGTCATGCTTGACGGAGGTTGTCAATATGGATACGTGCTAGGACAAACCATCACGAAAGCAGCAAACTAGTTACAGCTCCATGAGAATAAGGATAGATTTGGGTTGGGATACACACCCACTAAAGCTGATAAGAGAAGAGTTATGGAGGAAAAGAAAGAAAGAAGATTAGCCAGGTTGGAAGGTAGGGAGCCTAAGACTGAAAGGGTCCCCATTTGTGATCTTCTGAAGAGCTTCTATAGTGCTGGATTTGAGTTTCAAGACTCAGTGGCTGCTGCTGATGTGGATACACTTGAAGAAGAGGTTGTGGACCTAGTCCACACTTGTCCGCCAAACACAGAAGTTGGCAATTGGGAGATCATCGAGTTACCTGTGATTTTTAATAGCTATTCAAAGTAATCCTTGAAGTTAATCCTATTGTTTTGTTCCAAAGCTTTAGGATATCATTACTTTTTGAAAATGTTGATATATGATTTCTTTTTGTAATTTGAAATATCAGTTTGTTTTGTAAATTGGGACACATGTTTCCTTTTAAGTATATTTAAATGAAATGCAATTTGAATTCTCAGTAATCTTTCGTGTCTTTTTCTTTATCAGTTGAATCTTGTCGTTTATTTTCTTTTTGTCTCAACTCTCGCACAATGCAGATTCGAAAGTGACATGTCTGAAACTAATAGTGCTAATATCTCATCCACTAATTTTGATTGTCCCATTAATCAAGCTGTCGAAGATGATAGTGATGTTGATTTACCCTCAGAATTTCTAAGATTGGTCGATCAAGAAGTGAAAGTGATCCAACCTCATGATGAACCCACTGAGACAATTAATTTAGGGACTAAAGATGATAAGAGAGAAATCAAAATAGGCACCCTCATGAAAAAACAAGAGCGCGACAAGTTGATTAAACTCTTGCATGATTATAATGATGTCTTTGCATTGTCTTATCAAGATATGCCAGGTCTAGATGTTGACATAGTCGAGCATAAATTGCCACTAAAACCAGAGTGTTTCCCAGTTAAGCAGAAATTAAGGAGAATGAAGCCTGAGATGTCATTGAAGATTAGAAAGGAGGTCAAGAAGCAATTTGATGCAGGTTTTCTTGCTGTTGCCAAATACCCTCAATGGGTTGCTAACATTGTGCCAGTTCCCAAGAAAGATGGAAAGGTTCGGATGTGTGTTGACTATCGGGATCTAAATAGAGCCAACCCTAAAGATGATTTTCCATTGCCTCACATTGATATGCTAGTAGATAATACAGCTCAACATTCATTTTTCTCTTTTATTGATGGTTACTCGGGTTATAATCAGATCAAAATGGCTGAAGAGGATATGGAGAAAACCACATTCATTACACCTTGGGGCACCTTTTGCTACAAGGTCATGCCTTTCAGTTTGAAAAATGCTGGGGCAACATATCAAAGGGCGATGGTAACATTATTTCATGATATGATACATAAGGAGGTTGAAGTCTATGTAGATGATATGATTGCCAAATCAATGACTGAAGAAGACCATGTTGTAAATTTACACAAATTGTTTGAGCGGTTGAGAAAATTCAAATTGCGGTTGAACCCTGCCAAATGTACCTTTGGGGTAAATCAGGCAAGTTGTTGGGATTCATTGTTAGTCAAAAGGGAATAGAGGTTGATCCTGACAAGGCAAAAGCAATCATGGAAATGTCGCCTCCTCGCACTGAAAAGGAAGTTCGTGAATTTTTGGGGAGATTGAATTATATTGTCTGATTCATATGCCAACTAACTGCCACTTGTGAACCAATTTTTAAGTTGTTACGGAAAAATCAGCCGATGGAGTGGAATGATGATTGTCAAGAAGCTTTTGAGAAGATAAAGCAATATTTGCAAAATCCCCCAATACTAGTGCCGCCAGTGTCAGGGAGGCCGCTTATTATGTATTTGACAGTGTTAGAAGGATTCATGGGATGTGTTTTAGGTCAGCATGATGAATCAGGTCGGAAAGAGCATGCCATTTATTATTTGAGCAAGAAGTTCTTTAAGGCAATATATGTTGAGTCACATGACTTGGTTGGTGTAAAAAATGGACCCAATCAAATACATCTTTGAGAAACCAGCCCTTACTGGAAGGATTGCTTGTTGGCAGGTCTTACTGTTAGAATATGATATTGTGTATGTTACTCAAAAAGCAATCAAAGGCAGTGCTCTTGCAGATTTTTAGCTCATCAACCGGTGAATGATTATCAGTCAATACAGTACGAATTTCCTGATGAAAATATAATGGCGTTGCTCAATGAGAAAGAATCGTCAGCAAGAGATGAATGGGTCATGATGTTTGATGGTGCTTCTAATGCACTCGGACACGGGATTAGTGCTATACTAATTTCCCCAGAGAAGCAATATATTCCGATCACAGCTAGATTATCATTCGATTGTACGAATAATATAGCTGAATATGAAGCATGTGCTATGGAAATTCAAGCAGCTTTAGAGTCAAAGATCAAAATTCTTGAGGTATATGGTGACTCAGCCTTGGTCATCCACTAGCTGAAAGGTGAATGGGAGACTCGAGATGCCAAATTGATCCCTTATCAAACCTATATCAGAGAGCTAGTGGAGTATTTCGATGAAATTACTTTCCAACATATTCCTTGTGAGGAGAATCAATTGGCTGATGCTTTAGCTACTTTATCATCAATGTTTGTAGTGAGTCAAAAAGAAGACATGTCGTTCATAAAGATGCAACAGCTTGATCATCTTGCCTATTGTCAAATGGTTGAAGAAGAATCTGATGGTAAACCTTGGTATCATGACATTAAAAATTTCCTAAAACACCATGAATACCCATTAAATGCTATTGAAAATGACAAAAGGACATTGAGGAGGTTAGCAATGAGTTTCTTTCTGAATGGAGACGTGCTCTACAAAAGGAATCATGATATGGTTCTACTTAGATGTGTGGATGCTTCAAAAGCACGAAAGATCATGGAAGAGATTCATGAAGGTTCATTTGGGACCCATGCCAATGGACATGCCATGGCAAAGAAGATTCTAAGGGGTGGATATTATTGGTTGACAATGGAGACCGATTGCTTTCGTTATATGAAGACATGTCATAAATGCCAGACATATGCTGACAATATTAATGTTCCCCCAACAAGTTTGAATGTCTTATCATTGCCTTGGCCTTTTTCAATGTAAGGAATTGATGTTATTGGACCCATTGAACCTAAAGCCTCTAATGGTCACCGCTTCATTCTAGTTGCTATTGATTATTTCACAAAATGGGTTGAGGCTGCTTCATATGCTAGTGTGACCCGAAATGTGGTGGTGAGATTCATTAAAAAGGATTTGATCTGTCGGTATGGCCTCCTAAGCAAGTTGATAACAAATAATGGCACTAATTTGAACAACAAAATGATGAAAGAATTGTGTGACAATTTCAAGATTCGACATCATAATTCCTCTCCCTATCGCCCAAAGATGAATGAAGCAGTTGAAGCATCCAATAAAAATATTAAGAAGATCATCCAAAAGATGGTAGTGACATACAGGGATTGACATGAAATGCTGCCATTTGCCTTGCATGGATACCGAACTTCAGTTCGTACTTCAACCGGGGCAACTCCATACTCTTTGGTATATGGAATGGAAGCAGTACTTATTGAAGTCGAAATTCCCTCTTTAAGGGTAATGCTGGAGACCAAATTGGAGGAAGCAGAATGGGTGCAATCTCGTTTTGATCAATTGAATCTCATTAAAGGAAAACGGTTGAATGTGTTATGTCACGGTCAACTATATCAGAGAAGGATGAAGAAGGCTTTTGATAAAAAGGTTCGCCCAAGAGAATTCAGCGAGGGAGATATGGTGCTTAAAACGATTTTGCCAACGCATAAAGATTATCGTGGCAAGTGGTCCCCGAATTATGAAGCATGGATGGACATGGATGGACAAGATCTTCCAAACCTCATCAATTCTGATGCTGTAAAAAAATACTATGCTTAAAAAATTAATTAAAAAAGAAGAAAAAAGTTAGAAAAAAAGAAGAAAAAAAGAAGAAAATAGCTCGCTAGGTTGAAAACTTGAAAGGGCGACCTAGGCAAAAGTTAGAGCGACCTGGTGAGTTGAAAACTCGAAAGAACGGCTCAGGCAAAAATTAAGGTCAAATAAATACTACACTGAATTGAAAACCTGAAAGGGCAGTTTAGAGGGGCACTAACTTCAGTCGCAAGAAAGGGCTTCAAATCGAGAAATATGATCGACTGGAATACTAAACTAGGGCAATTTTGAGAGGTTAAAGTTGAATCAAACGGAAGATGGATTCAAAATACCATACTGGGGCAATTTTATTTTGGCAGTCTTGTTAATCATCAACTTACATGGAAGATTAGCACTGTTCATCTGGAAGACGTCATTTAATCGGCATAATACTTCGTTATTCTTGTAGTCATTCTGATCCTTTGTTTGATGTATTTGTTTTTCTATTATGTTGTAAGTCCTCTTTGTAAATTCACCATTTCTTTATTACAATCATCCTACTTTCCAAAATATTTATCCCTGACTTTTGTCATCTTCCATTCAGCTTATATACACCACTTTGTTTACTCAACTTCTTCAACAACATTAACCAACATTTTTATTGTCATTTCAATAATTATATACTAAAAGGAAACATGCAAATTGTTAAAAGGGTAATAAGAAAATATGATTACAATTGGAAGCTTAAAAAATTCACACAGTAAGTTTGATAAATCTCCTGATAAGTTTAGCGTGACAGAAGAAGTTGTCTCCTTATGACAATTCAAAAATAAATGGCAATCTAATTCGATTCATGTCTCACCCAGTTCAGATCTTATGAAAGAATTGACCCTGACCGAAGAACATACTCATTCATGAACCTTGAGGTGCATGTTCCAATAAGGTTGAAAGATTACTATCCCCCAAAAAAAAGGGGACAGAGAGTTTGTTTTGATTTAATAAGTCTCATAATAGCATTGACTTCATCATTCAATAACTTCACTCTAAGTGATAACATTCATCCAGTTTATGCAATCGCATCATTACATTAACATGCATTTCTTTTTATCTATTATCATCTTT